TATTTGCCAAATGATTAAATGGTGGACTTTAACTGCAGTTTGGCTCTTTCATTCAGGGAATTCATTCATGTCCCTCGCGACAAACGAGATATTTGATTCGAGGAGCTGCTCTAAGCGTGTATTTTTCATGCAATGTTTGATACCGCACGGCGAATGAGAGAAAAAAAAACTCTGCATTTCCCGCAAACTTAGATGCACACGGCAGGTAGCGTCAGAAAGCCGTGTGTGTTATTCCGGTCACTAAATGCGGTGCTAACATGTTTGCACTCAGTGCAATAGTTAACTTAATTCGATACGAACAAACTGAATAAACAAAGAGCACTGGTCACTCACTTACCAAATCTGTAGAGACAGGACAATCACCAGCAACTAGAGACGCGTCTTTATGGAGAGAATACTACAAGCGAATCTGGATCTCAGCGTTTGCAGATGAGAACAGCTCTCAGGTAAACAATAATCCTCCTTAGACACGTAAGTTATTGTTGTCGAGCGTCGCGTACACTGTTAATCCACACGTGACTCCAGCTGCGCTCTCACAGAGAGAAAATGAAAACGAAACTTCACTGCAGCAAACTATAAAAGCAACACTTCACGCTTGTTTTGCCAACACAACGTGGCGTCTCTGTCGTCTAAACACTGTGACAGTAATGAATATTAATGAAGTTGCACAATAGAGCGCGCTGATTGGTTTGAACCAAGCTTTACTCATGCATTAATGCAGCACACTGTAAGTTGTAATAAGACACACTCTGGCACAGGCGTCCAGTCTGCATGCTGGAATACACGCTATTATGTCATGACCGTGACGCAGCTTCAAAAATTAGTTTCAAACCGGAAATACGAATTTTCTTGAAATAACGCAAAAACAACCAATTCACACTTTTTAGTGAGATATAGGTGTCCTAATAGTGTTTTTAGCAGTGTGGGACACATATACCACTGTCAACAGCTCAACACATGTGTTTTGGTGTTTCGTGACCCTTTAAGGGGTCTCATATTGATTTCAGTCTGGACTTCAGCTCTAATTGGCACCTTGCTTTGGCATCAGGAGTCCTTAAGTTTTCATGTGTATTTGCAGATATCTTTTTTTTTCCTGAGGTGAAATGCTGCTGAAGTGACTCTCTGAGCAGTTCATGTCCTCACACACCTGAAGCAACCCAACACTCTCGAATAAACTGCACTGCTTAGAGACATGCAGACTTTTCACAAACACAACAAAATAATTAGAAAAACTTACGATCAATACTGTGGACTTATTTTTCCCGATAAATATTGACCAATATGACACCTGGTCCTAAATATGACAACATGCCCTGGTCCAGGGGACAGATATGTGCGTCAAATGAGCTGAATCTTCTCTCCTGGGCTGGGAGGGTGGAAATGTTCAATAGTTTCTGATGCCAAAGCAATGCGCCAATTAGAGAAGACCGATCAATACAAGAACCCTTAAGAGAAACACCAAACCAGACTCCGTTCAGGACCAGACCAGGAGCCTTCAGTCCCAGAACAAGGGTGTCTACTTCAAATGAACTCAAATGGAAACACACTGCAGTGTAGGCTTGTCAAAAGTATTGACTTTGGTACCAATCAATGCTGAAATTATAAAAACGTCCATTTCCCGCTAACATTTAAACCCTGCTGAGCGCGTCCTTGAACTCTGCTGATTGGTCAATGTGTTCATGTGCTCAACAGAAATGACTGTGATGATGGTCATCAGTTTGCCACTCTTCACTGCTGTTCACCAAGTGTAAACACAGATACACGGACACCGGACTGATTCAAAGTCACGTTGATCAGTGATCCGACATATGAGCGATCGCTGATGGATCGACTGATTGACGCAGCTTTGTTCACCATTACATGGTTTCTGTAGGAGTCCTGTAGGACAATGAAGACCAAAACTCCCGTGATTCCACACTCAGTCAAGCCATCATCAAACTCCAGCTTTGTTTGTTGTGAATATGCGCCCTCTAGTGGACAGAACTACATATTGTGTCTTTAAAGCATTTGAGCACAAGAAATTATAAGACCTGTAGCTTTAACAACAACGACTTGTATTTAGGTTATTGTTTATATGACTACACACTGCTGCTTTACATATAAATATTGAATTTCTGTAACTGAATATTGTTAAGGGGGTTGCACACCAGATGCAATGCATAGTCGGAGTGGGCGCCGCAGACAGCCACCGACTTGCGGCACCGTTGTGCATTCATTCATTCATTTTCTTGTCGGCTTAGTCCCTTTATTAATCCGGGGTCGCCACAGCGGAATGAACCGCCAACTCATCCAGCAAGTTTTTACGCAGCGGATGCCCTTCCAGCCGCAACCCATCTCTGGGAAACATCCACACACACGTTCACACACACACTCATACACTACGGACAATTTAGCCTTCACAATTCACCTGTAATGCATGTGTTTGGACTGTGGGGGAAACCGGAGCACCTGGAGGAAACCCACGCGAAGGCAGGGAGAACATGCAAACTCCACACAGAAGGGCCAACTGAGCCGAGGTTCGAACCAGCGACCTTCTTGCTGTGAGGCGTCAGCACTACCTACTGTGCCACTGCCTCGCCACCGCTGTGCATACCCTTGTAGAAATCTATGTTGAGAATTCTAAAATGCATGCGCTGCATGGTGCATCCGGTGCGACCCTCTTCAGACTTTCCAGAAAACGCTTTGATTTCAGTTGCATCGTTGCTCTACTGTATTTCAACATGCTTGTGGTTTGTTTATTACATTTCTAATTTCTATTTAATATTATATAGTCAATCTGAAATTGTTAAATTCTTACCATATGAAGCCATTTGGCGGAGTTGTATTCATTATCGCTTACAAAAAAATAAACATTGCAGTGTACGTTTGATTATAATATTACAGCCCTACACTGCAGTTTGTAAGCTTGTGACTCTTGAGGTTTACTTCGGTGTTTCGTCCACTGGACTGCGGTCTCTGACTAGCTCTGGTCTCCTGTCTAACGGCTCAACACAAACACCAGATGAAGCGTAAACACAACCATTAAGCCTGTGGAATAACACACGCTTTCATCCTTTTCAGCTGCTGCTATTCATTGGCTTCTTTTGTGCTCTCCGAGCTGTGACCTTCAAAGTTTATGATAACTTCTGAAAGAGAGACGCTTTTCACTCAACAATACCTTGCACTTGCACCTCCACAGTGCATTTTTACAGCCCGTATGGACTGAAAGCAGCATCGCAGAAAACAAGAGGCTGCTAATTTAAAATGGCTATTTTTCATCTGTGTATGTGCATCATGTTTTGTCTGGTGGTAAAGTGTATGTAACATGCTGTTAGGCGAGAAACATTTCAGTTTTAAATATGACAATAATGTTGTATCATATCATATCATACAAGCATGTAATGTGAAACGGCTATTCACATACAGCTGACATACGCTGTATAAAAAGGCTCATAACCATTTAAAAAGAAGTCAGATGTTAATGTGACTAAACTTTTTCACTTTTAGGTAAGTCAGGATGATCAGATGTGTTTCTGTTCTGCTTAATAGCAGAATAACGAGATAGATATTGTTTGGGAAGATGTTATAACTCTTGTTGGAAGTCAAGTTTACACACAATCAGATTATTCTGCCTCTGGAAAAGCTCAGATGATGATGTCAAGGTTTTGGAGGTTTCTGATTGGCTAATTGACAACATTTGAGTTAATGTGAGGCACAGCTGTAGAATAGTATTGAAGGAAAAGCTCAAACACACTGCTTCCTTGTGTGACAACACGGGAAAATCAACAAGCCAGAATCAGCAACAAAGCCAGATTACCATTAGCTGAATGACACTGGGAATAGACTGATGTTTGGAGACATGTCCTGTGCTCTGATGGAGCTAAGATTGAACTGTTTGGCCATCATGAGCAGTGTTACATCTGGAGGACAAAGGGGAAATCAACAAGCCTAGAACACCATCCCAACTGTGCAGTATGGGGGCGGCAGCATCATGTTGTGGGGCTGTTTTGCTGCAGGAGGGACTGGTCCACTTCACAGCATAGATGGCATCATGAAGAAAGAACATTATGGAGAAATACTGAAGCAACATCTCAACGCATCAGCCAGGACATTAATACTTGGCAACAAATGGCTCTTCCAAACAGACCATGACCCAAAGCATACTGCCAAATTAGTTCTTTAAGGACAACAGAATGAATGTTTTGCAGAGGCCATCACAAAGCCCTGATCTCAATCCTATAGAAAATGTGTGGGCAGAGCTGAAAAAGCTTGTGCTATTTTGTCTATGTATGAATGTTTACGTCTTGTCTCTTTGAATAAAGTATGTAACAAGTTGTAATGCGTGCAAATTTTCAGATCTAATCTGACATTTAAGTATCGTATCATATTATATTGTATTATTGTGACTAGCCGCACCACATTTACATGCTTGAGCGATACGAAATGCTTCAACCGACCTATAGTCAAACCTAGATCCGATTTTCTTGTCTGTGTAGATGCATTATGTTTTGCCTGCAAAAAAATTTTCAGATCTAAGTTTGACAATAAAACATCGTATCGTATTAATGTGAATAGAGGAATACTTAACATGCTTGTCGGATATTATACAATTTTATCATTTTTATTTTTTTGCCTGTGTATATGCATTACGTCTTGTCTGTTTGTAAAGCGTATGTAACAAGCTGTTATGTAAGAAACATTTCAGATCGTATCCTATCCTATCGTATCATACAAGCATTTAATGTGCTACGGCTATTCACAATAATAGGATACAATACAACCTTATTGTCAGACTTAGATCTGATTTTTTGGGTCTATGCATGTCTTATCTGCTTATATAAAGTATGTAACAAGCTGTTAAACTTTCAGACCTAAGACCACAAAGTATTAAATTGTATATATTGTACACTATTAATTTGAATGAATACTACATTACATGCTTTAACTCAATGTATCTAGCCCTGCATTGACTTGTCCTATCATACCAGCACACAAAGCCACAGCAGCTAATGGAGGCATACCTTGCGCGCAGCGTGGATGTCGAAGAAAGGCTTATTCCTGACACTGAAGGGCTCCTTGGCTTTGTCGATCTGGCCCAGCTTCATTTTCTCAAAGCGTGGGGAGATGATCTCCTTCTCGATACACAGCAGACGTCTGTTGAAGTCACACTGACCCACCGGTTGACCCTGGAGAGCAAACCACACACACACACTCAGCATCACTAGATGCACACTTAAAATAGATCAAATAAATAGGATGATTCATCCCGGCTGTCTCCTCCAGTTGTTGGGATGATCCTGATTTTCAGTGGCTAACTCGGACTGCTAATTTCTACAAATACAAATAAAAGTGACGATTATGATAGCAACAGCTGGTTCTTAGTTAAATAAATCAGTTTTTAAATTAGTTTTTTTATTTAAACCAAATGATGATAAGGACTAAAATGATGATGATTATTTGCTGCAATGCATTTGCTTTTCATTTGCGTTTAAAAATAGAAACTTGACAAATATCGAATCATAATCTGAACAACAACACAACATGCATGAGCAGATTTAATGTCCAGTTCTGTTCTGTTCGGTTAATTCATTCATGCTTTAGGAACTCTGATTTCCACACGTGTCACATTAACACAGTCCCACACGTAATCATGCAAAAAACAGAGAAATAAGGCATACATAAGACATAATTAATAATAAACGAGAAAAGGGATGCACAAACTTCCAATTCCATTCATTCAAATCCATTTAGATTCCAGCCTAATCCAGAATTTAAACTCCATGGGCTGACTGAAATGATGCTATATAAGACATTCGTGCACAGACAGAAGACAGATTCACTCTGTCCCAGCAGGTGGCTTTGAGCAACAGCAGCAATATAGCGTTTACTTGGCAAGCGCAGGGTTTATAAAAAGTAATGTGCATTATGCGGGATAAGATGAAATGAAAAAAACATCTCAACTTCTTTCCTACAGTCAGTTTCCCACAGCGACACATATCAGTAGACCTGTGTTATCCACATTGCCTTGGATTTTCCATCAAATGTCAGTCTTTCTGTATGAACACTCTCAAAATTCCTCTACTTCTCTTCTAAAGTTCTCTATTATTCTCCAGTTTTACTGTAGAGCTCGCTGCTCATCATTTTAGTCAAGCTTTCCTACTTCAAAAATCGTTGATTGTGTTTCTAAATTAAAGAACCTGGGTGTTATTTTCGATTGTGATCTTAATTTTAAATCTCATATTAATCAAGTTACAAAAACATGTTTTTATCATTTACGAAATGTTGCCAAAATTCGTTCTTTCCTATCTTTTGATGATGCCAAGAAATTAATTCATGCTTTTATTTTCTCTCGGCTTGATCATTGCAATGCTATCTATACTGGACTACCTAAGGGTTCTACAATGAAGTTGCAATTGATACAAAATGCAGCAGCCAGAGTTTTAATGAAATTAAAGAAACGAGAACACATTACACCAGTATTAATAGAATTACACTGGTTGCCTGTGCACCAAAGGATAGATTTTAAGATTCTTTTATTAGTTTTTAAAGCACTACACAATATGACACCTTCCTACATTTCCGACTGTTTAACAAAATATAATCCAAACCGTTTACTACGCTCTTCTAGTGCTGGACTTTTTTTATCCTGTAAATCTGATGCGATCTGGCGGCACTTCTTTTAGCCATTATGCTACAAAAATTTGGAACTGTCTCCCTCTTGAAGTGAAAGAATCACCAAGTATTCATGTTTTTAAAAAGCGTGTTAAGACACATCTTTTTAAAATTGCGTATGATTAAACAAGTTTGTTAGGTGTACACATTTTATCTATTTTGTTGTAGGTTTATGTATGTAATGTATGGTGTGTGCCTGCATATGTAAGGACTGTTGTGTGTGTGATCATGTGAATATATACTTACATTTTGTGTACATGAATGTTTTTATTTCAGTATATGTGATAAGTTTTTGTGTCTATTTTAATGCTTTTGTTGTTGTTTGTGAGGCACTTTGAGTTGCATGTATGTTGGAAAAGTGCTATACAAATAAAGTTTATTATTATTATTATATTATTATTCTATGCTGCACCTTTGTGACACTGGATCATGAGTGTTAATTTTTGGAAATTGAGATTTATGCGTCATCAAGAAAGCTGAATAATAAGCTTCTATTGCTGAATGGTTTGTTAAGATAGAAGGACATCTCAGATTGAAGACATTTTATGTGCAAATATGTTCTGCAATGCATGTTACTGATCCAAAATGTGGTTCTGATAATGGGAGTTCGAGTGTCGGCTGGGTCAGTTGGCGTTTCTGTGTGGAGTTTGCATATTCTCCCCATGTTGGCGTGAGTTTCCTCCGGATGTGCTATAGGGGATTTGGATGAACTAAATTGGCAGTAGTGTATGGATGTTTCCCAGGTTAAGTTGGGTTGCAGCTGGAGGAGCATGCGCTGTGTAAAACATATGCTGGATAAGTTGGCGGTCCATTCTGCAGTGGTGACCCCTGATAATCAGGGATCAAGCAGAAGGAAAATTAATGAATTTACTAAAAGTCTTCATGGAATATAATCTTTATTCCAATGATTCCATAAAAACAATATGAATCATATTTACCTATACTAGGGTTGTCAAAGGTGTCCTGTTCGAAATCAATCAGTACAGAAGTTTTAAAAGCGTCCATTATCTGCTAACATTTGAGCGCTGTTGAGCAAGTATATATTAAAGGGCACATAGTTTACCCCTTTTTTAAGATTTAATATGAATATTCTGGTTGTTCTGAGTGTGCTAGGTTCAGTTCAACACACAGTTCAGATTTTGTTATTATAATGTGTTAAGCAGTGTGATGTTAGGGGTGTGTACACTGGTCGTTGTTTTAAGGGTGTGTTACTTCACATGAAAATTAGTTTCGACTTCCTGCCCAACTTAACAAGGAGCTCCCCCGCTCTGTGTTTGGCAACAGACAGGCAGACAGAGAGAAGCAGCATGAGTGAGAGGACCAGCATTCAGCCGTACATGTACGCCTCGGACACAGACCAAGCAGAGACGACTGTTGAGGAATCGATATTTCTAATGGGCCAGAATGTGTCAGAGTGGTAGTTACACAATCTTTTGTGTCGTTGTATAGTTTTGCAGCCGCTATGTAACGATGTATGCGTCATCCGTATAGGGATGCAATAATTAACCGGTTTCGACATTAACCGTGATTTAATTCATCACGGTTAATAAATTGTAAAGGCTTCTCAACAAAATGTTTCTGCACGGAACAAAACTGCGCCAACTAAACAAAGTTATGCCAAAGTTAAAGTTCCAAGCTTGTACACCGAGACTAATAACCACGCACACTGGATTAACTTTAACTGAGGCCATAACTAAGGCAAGTTCGTTATTTCCAATTGAGGTACGCGCACGCGAGGCAACGCGCTCACACTTTTCAGCCACACCTAAGTGAGATGACAGGGAGCTTCTGTGACCGCGGGAAATGCAAACAACTGAAGATTAAGGAAGACACAATGCCTTAAAAGTCACGTCTCGTCTTTAGTTTCAGGCTCAGGCGTGCTTTGCACAAACACTACAAGCGTACCTTGCCTGAGCTCAAGTTAACCGCGCTCCAGCACACCTCTTCCAACCGGGACAGGGCCAGCCACCTGAACAGTGCCTGAGCCTGATTAAGAGCACTCACACTTGTTAAACGATTCGGGAAACAGGCCTGGGCAAGGTTCGGATAACATAGTGTGAGTACGCCCTAAGTTAAAATACGAGAATGGTACAAAAAAAAAGCCAATTCAGAATCTGACTGTAAAATCTCTGCATCAGGTTCCCCTCTAAAACAACATACTCAAAAATACAGCGATACATTTTTATCATTGACAACTATTCTGTATGCAAGAGACAACAAAAAGGCAAATGTTGGAGAACGGTGCATTCAAGGACAACTCTGAGGCCTTCAACACCCTCTGTCATGGGCATCTGCTGACCAATGAAAACTCGTAATTATTAGTAAACACGATTTTATTCCCAAAATGGCCTGCCACTCTCCAAACCCCATCATCAGATTGTTTTTGTCCATCAGACTCAAAATGTTAAAACCTCCACCGGTCTTTGGGTTTACAAAACCCCTTTTCTTTAAAGGGGAAAGTGGATGCGTGTGGATGTGTAAGCGTGATGAGAGAAGGTGTTGAAGGAACAGACACGGTTAGTGTGTGTGTGTGTGTGTGTGTGTGTGTGTGTATCCGCGTGGCTCTGGAAATAATCCACCATGCTCTCTCTCCATCACGACTGCAACAGCGTCTCCATGGAAACCGCTCGATCCGATGGGACGCCGGTCCACGTCACTACAACAACATCAAAGCTTCACCTCGTTACCCAGAGCCCTCAAAAAGACTGTGACATGCTTCCCGAAACGGATTTGAAGCAATCTGCAGAAGACAGATCTCCAGTGAAATCACACAGCAGACGAGTTGCACACGATTCACTGCAGTTCTGTTTCCCCGCTGAAGGGGCCTGGTTCCTGAACAGAATCGTCCTCGGGGAGCATGTCTTACACACCGTCAACGCTTGTACCTCTTAGGAAGCTCCTCTTGGGCCACTTTAGTAAATGGAACGAGCGTCTTAAATAAAAATCTGTCATCATTTACTCCACATGTTCAAACCTGTTTCTTTTGTTTTGTTGAACGCAAAGGAAGAATACAGTAACCATTGATATGCATAGTACAACACTAAATCAGGAAAAGTTGGGACAGCATGGACAACACAAATAAAAAAGAAAGTAAAGATTTCCAAATTTACGCTGACTTGTGTTTCATTTCAGACGATACGAACACAAAATATTTGATGTTTAGTCAGGTCAACTTTATTTCATTTGTAAACATATGGAATGGAATCGCTGTCGTAAATATTTCGTGCGTAAATAAAATTCATGCATCTGTAATTATAAAAACGTAAAGGAAAACGTGAATTATAATTTTCCGAGGGTACAGTTCCAAAATCTGTGATTAGATCAGACACAGATACAACACTTTCTTTAGCTGTCTGTATACGACTTCTACATTTACGATGGGTGTACTTTACAAACACAAAATACAGTTTCTCCACGGACACGAAGAGCTGATTGCGAGTCTGATTCTGTAAAATGTCAGAGAAACACAGCGAAAATAGACCTTATTATGTTTCAACCTTTATTACAGCTCAAG